TGCCCGGCGCTGGAGGCGTACTAGTGGAGCTGGTGCTTCTTCGGCTGCTGAGGGTGCTGGTGCCGCCGGCCTCGGAGGTGCTCCTGCGAGTGCTACTGGAGTCGGAGCTGCTGCGGGTGTTGGCGCTGAGGCTGCTGGTGTCAGTTCTGGAGCCGGTCCTACTGCTGGGGGTGCTGCTGGTGCTGCTGGAGGTACTGGAGCTGGAGGTGCTGTTGACGGTGGTGCTGCCGCTGGGGGTGCTGGTGCTGTCCCTGCTGTGTGTGGAGTCGCCGCGCGGCCTCGGCCATACTTTGTTCCGCTCCTTCAGTAGGTTCTTGGTCTTCCTCCTCCCTTAGAGTGTCCACCGCCTGTCCAGTCACAGTCACAGTTACCGCCGGCCTCCCCACTGCCTTCTCCTTCTCCGTACACTGGTCCTACTCGAGGTCTTGCTGAGCGTCGTGAGCCTGCGTCTCGTCCTGCGTCGCCTGTTCGTGCTGCTCGCACTGGTGGTCGTAGTTCGCGTCAGCGTCCTCCTCCTGTCCCTGGCACGCACCGGATGTCTCTGCGTCCGTCCACTGCTCCTCTGTGTGCCCCTTTGCCCTCTCCTCCTCAGTCCTCTCTTCCTGCGCTTGCCGACCCTGAGTCGGACTGTCTTCATGCTGCCAGTCCTACTGTCACGCGTCTCCTTGCTACTGTCGTCACTGACCCCTCCTTCGAGTCCACTGCTGCGTCTGCTCTTGTTGCTGAGCTCGTCGACTTTTCTGCTCGCTATCGTCTAGACTACGCTGCTAGTCTTGTTGCTGAGTCTGCGTCTGTCTGTCCTCCGTCCGTCGGGGGTGAGTGTGCTCTTGGCACGGACGTCCTTGAGGACAGGCAGGAGGAGTTCCAGTGTGTGGCTGCTGCTTCACCTCATCTCGCGTCCGTACTGCTTACCCCTGAGGGAGACCCGGATGCACTAGACATCCCGACTCCGCGCTCTTACGCGGAGGCCGTAGAGGGTCCCTACTCCTCTCAGTGGCAGGCAGCTATGGATGCAGAGATGGCTTCCTGGAAGTCCACAGGCACCTACGTTGACGCGGTTCCCCCTCCTGGGGCGAACATCGTCAGTGGCATGTGGATCTTCAGGGTGAAGCGGCCGCCAGGCTCTCCACCTGTCTTCAAGGCGCGGTACGTGGCTCGTGGCTTCAGTCAGCGGCAGGGAGTTGACTACTTTCAGACCTTCTCTCCACTCTTCGGGTGCTGCTACACATAGCTGCTCAGCGTGACTACGAGCTTCACTCCCTTAACTTCAGCATTGCTTTACTGCAGGGTAGCCTGCACGAGGAGATCTGGTTGCACCGTCCACCTGGCTTCACTGGGACTTTCCCTCCTGGCACCCAGTGGAGCCTCCGACGGCCAGTCTACGGTCTCCGCCAGGCACCGCGCGAGTGGCACGACACACTGAGGACTACACTTGCGGCTCTTGGGTTTGCTCCCTCTACTGCTGACCCGTCGCTGTTTCTACGCACCGACACCTCTCTGCCGCCGTTTTACATCCTCGTGTACGTCGACGACTTGGTCTTTGCCACAGCTGACACTGCTGGACTCGCCCACGTGAAGTCCGAGCTGCAGAAGAGACACACGTGCATAGACCTGGGTGAACTGCGCAGCTACCTTGGCTTGCAGATCACCCGGGACAGAGCACGCCGCACCATTACCCTGACTCAGTCACACATGGTGCAGCAGGTCCTTCAGCACTTCGGCTTCACGTACTCCTCGCCTCAGGCCACTCCTCTGCCTACTCGCCACTCGCTCTCAGCTCTGCCTTCGGATGAGCCCGTAGAGTCGAGTGGCCCGTATCCAGAGCTTGTTGGCTGCCTCATGTACCTGATGACCTACACACGACCTGACCTTGCATACCCTCTTAGTATTCTCGCACGCTATGTTGCTCCTGGGAGACACCGACCAGAGCACATGGCTGCAGCGAAGAGGGTGTTGCGCTACTTGTGCAGTACGTCGGGCATGGGGCTAGTGCTTGGAGGGCGGAGTCCAGTGGTCCTCACTGGGCACGCGGAGGCTTCTTGGGCAGACGACCAGGCTACGCAGCGGTCGTCACAGGGTTACACCTTCAGCCTTGGTTCCGGCTCTGTTTCGTGGCGGGCTACTCGCTCGTCTTCTGTTCTCGGCTCCAGTTGTGAGGCTGAGATCTACGCCGGGGCCATGGCTGCACAGGAGCTTCGCTGACTTACCTACCTGCTGACTGACCTCGGAGAGCCGCCTCGTTCTCCTCCGGTGCTGTACGTAGACAACAAGGCCATGCTAGCCTTGTGTCGGGAGCAGCGCCTGGAGCACAGAACGAAGCACATTGCTCTCCGCTACTTTCTTGCTCGTGAGTTGCAGCAGCGTGGTTAGTTGCGACTTGCGTACGTGGCCTCTGAGGCCAACACTGCTGATGTTTTCACCAAGGCACTTCCGCCTTGTGATCATCAGCGCTTCTGCACTCAGCTGGGTCTTGTGCCTGTCTTGCCTCACTTGCTCACCCCTTGACCTTGCTTGTACTCTTACATATATATATACCTGCTCTTGCTTGTTTAGCCTTATATATATATGTGTACTCGTGCATGTGAACTGGCCTTGTGGCCTTGACCTTGTGCTCGGACTGTGTGGTGACGTTGTGATCCACCCTGAGCTTTGTCTGCTTTGCTTGACTGGTCTTGTGACCCCTTGTTCTTCCCCACTTTGCCTATGGGGGTGTGTCAAATTTATAATATTGTGTAGGCTATAGTGGGGTAGCCTATATGGGGTACACATTTCTAGGGTTGCATATTTGTATCACTTCCATTCCTTAGTCATTCATTTTCCCGTTCTAAGTTTCTCAAAACGAGTACAAAATGTGAGCGAAGGCGTGAGCGAACATTTATACACGAAACATGCAAACGGTAACGCGGTGCGTGCGAGCTAGCTAGTGCTATGCTGGAAGCGAGGCTCGGGCTAGTCCCGAAGCGTAGGCCGACACGGCCAGACCAGCAGTGCGAGGTTTGGTGAAACAGTGCGCGCGAAGTCGGCGAAGCCCCGTTAGCAGTAACGGGCGAACAACGGCTGATGCTGTACGCGATGTTGCAGGGCGCGCCAAGGAATATCGAGAAATTCCTTACAAGAGTGTAATACACCCTGACTAGTGATCGCCTTGTAAAGGGGAAATCCTGAACCTGGCATAGCCTTCCCTTTCCGGCAGCACTCATAATTCTGATCTCTGCCTCATATTCCATTCTATGGCTGTTCATGGTCGGATCGAGAGGGTGAGCAGGCCGAGTAGGATTCTCTTCATCGCCGTAGGTTCTGGACAGTAATGAATTATGCAGCCGTTCAGACCTGGGGCTTCCGTAGCGCGATATAGGGTTTGTCATATTTTTCGGTCGTTAAATTCGCGCTTGTTCATTTCATTGCTCTAGCAGTTGTCCTTATCGCTGTTCGAACAACCCTGTCGTTAAACTCGTCCTCTCCGTGACGCCATTCTGCCATAGCTATTCATTATCCAACCACATACTTGTTTAAAAAAAATGGCATCAGGTGGTCGCGATCTGCTGCCGTTCTTCGGCCCATCCACATCCATCCCCGAACTTACCCGACTCTCGCGCCTCTCCAGCCAATCGTCTCCCGCCAGCTGTCACTGGAAGCTGTTCGACCGTCAGACTCTCTCTGAGTTGCTGTACCCGCCGGGAGACGATCGCGGACGGGTAGCCGTCTGGTCGCTTAAGATCTCGCCGTCAGGCAAACGGCTAGCCGTCATATGGGGTTCGACTGTTACTATTCTGTCGCATTATGACGGGTATTCGGCTCCCGTCGGCAGCTTCAGCATTCCGTCAGGTACTATTCCGTCAGGTCTGTCTATTTGTAACCATTCCGTCAGTTCTGTTGAAGTGTTAGTTTTCCGTCTGTTCAGTTCTTGTGCTTATAGGGTTCAGTTCTTGGTAATGATTTCTAGTGCATGACTTCCTGCAATGCGTGATGCGGTCTTTTTGCATTGGCATGAACGTCTGGGATCGCACTATTTCGTGTCAGGTTGTGTTTATGGTGACTACGTCAGTAGTTCCTTGGTGTATATTTGTCGTAGATTCTCGTAGCTTTGTCCACTTGCCAGCATCGCCGTTTTGAATGTTTCATGATAATGTTGTTTTCGTTGCATTTCGTTATGATGCATGATCAGGCAGAGAAAGGGTTACCACAACGATCAGTGTAACCGCGGAGTGGAGCGACGACGAGAGGGTCCTCGCTGTGATTGGTTCCCACGCTCTCTGGTTGCTGGATGCACAGGGGCTGCTGCTCGGCGAATTGGCCGCTGCCACGTGGCAGCCTCGGGGATCCACCGTTGCAGGCTGTGTCCTTCGATCTGCACACGACTCGGAGCCTGACACTGGAGTGAAATCGTTCAGGTAAGCTTGCCAGTGCATTACCAGTGCACTGAAAACTTCAAGGTAAGGGGTCGGGTCCCTTTCTCACATTTACACTTGAGGAGCCTCAGAAGGCTGGGTCCTACGATTGGCACACGATTCAGAGCCTGACTGACAGTGGAATGAAATCTCTTAGGTATGAAGTCCGGTTTCTTACACACGTTCCTTCCCCTAGCCTCCCCCCCTCGTTTTGCCCTCAAACGCCATGAAAATCCATCCCGTCACCCATTGTTTCAATTCTAGGTTGACTCTTTTCATGTCTTTCCTCCCTCCCACCCTCTTCTCTCCCTTCCGTTCCTCCCACCCTTCCACCCACCCAACCACAATGCCTAAAACATCACTTTGGTCTGGTCCCACCCCCGCCCGCCTCTACTTACCCACAATTCCCCTCCCACTCTGAGTGCCACACGGTCTTGTTCATTCCTCACAACCACAACCCCCTCCCAACCACAGTGCCTATGAAATCATTCTGCTCCTGTCCCACACTCGCCCGCGCCTCTGGCGAGCTACAGGCTCCCACTCTGAGTCACCCTATTTTCCTCTTTCTTCCCAACCACTCCCCCTCCCCCCATTCCCCCAACCACAGTGCCTATGAAATCATTCTGCTCCTGTCCCACCCTCGCCCGCGCCTCTGGCGAGCTACAGTCTCTCTCCCACTGCCTCCCTCTGGCGAGCTCGGGGCGAGTTCAGGAGTTTCAGGTGTTTCTTCAGGTGCTGCGTCAGGAGCCTGGGGTGCGCGATCAATGAGAGTGAAGGCGAGGGGGAGGGCGTATCTGCTGGAGGGCAGGCATCAGGGGAGCGTGGTTCGCGCGGACTTTCATCCAGTGCTGAGCCTGCTTGCAGTGGCCGGCATATGCCCCTCTGGTGAGTAGAACTTGAGTTGAGACCCGCCCAGGTGAAGGCTAGGGGAAGGGCGTATCTGCTGGAGGGGGAGTGTTGCTCGCGCGGACTTTCGTCCAGTGCTGAGTCTCCTTGCTGTGGCCAGCATTTGCCCCTCTGGTGAGTAGATACCTGTCCAGGTAGAGCCTGGATAACCCCCCCCTCTTTGGAACTTTCACCTCGTGCTGAGTCTCCTTGCTAGGGCCAGCTGCCAGCATATGTCCCTGAGGCTTCTGCCTTTGCTGTTTTGAGACGTCTCAAACCAACTCTTCTATCGCCAGCATATGTGCCCTCAGGTAAGACCCTTCTGCCTGTGCTCAGCATACGTCCCTCCTCTTGTCCATCTGGCATATCCCCGACCCGCTCCTCCCGCTTCTCCCGCCCCTCTTCCTCTTCCACCTGCTCTTCCCCCTTCTCATCCCCTTTTTCGATCCTTTTCCTCCCCTGTCCGCTCTGGCCCTCTCTTTCATCACCACGCGCTCTGCTCGCCTGTGCTTCTCTTCTCCCCACCCCCCCTTTTTCTCTCTTGCAGTTGGCAAATCGTTTCCACACGCCCTCCCACGTCCCTCCTCCTATCCATATGGAACATCCCCGACCGACCCGCACCACCCCTTGCTCCCGCCCTCCTTCCTCTGCCTCCAAAGCTTCTCAGATTGTCATTTCCCCCTTCTTGTTCCTTTTCCCCCCCGTTCTTCCTCTGCAGTTGGCAAACCATCCTCCACGCGGCCCCCCACGTCCCTCCTCCTGTCCATATGGCACATCCCGGACCCGCACCACCCCCTCCTCCCGCCCTCCTTCCTCTGCCTCCTCCGCTTCGCCCCTCCTCCCCTCCACCCTCCCCAATCCAAACCCTCTCGCTCCAGAACCCCAGGCTCGGGCTCCTCTCTAGGGTTTTGGGACGAGGGTTTAGAGGGGGATGAGGAGGAGGAAGAGGAGGAAGGGGAGGAGGCGGTAGCAGAGGTGAGATTCTCCCCTGATGGGGGGTCACTAGCGGTGGTACACCACCGGGGGGTTTTGTCTCTTATGCGGATGTCGGCTAAGGATTCTGAGCTCATGCTGCTGCCTAGGAGTGTGGGGAGAACTGTGGGTGTTCCCTCTGGGGCTGCGGTGGAGGAAGAAGGGAGTGTGGTGGAGAGGGGTGTGGAGGAGTGGGGTGTGATGAAGGACGGGACGGAAGAAAAGGACGGAGAGGAGGGGGTGAAGGAGAAGGGAGAGGAAGGGACACAGCAGAGGAAAGCAGTGCGGTTCCGAATGGTGCAAGGCGGTGTGGTGGATTGCGTCACCAGTGTGACTTGGCTCAGCACAGATACAATAGCAGTATCCCATCGCTCAGGGAGAGTAGCCATAGCTACAGTGCACGATTTATCCAATCTCACCGGCCCGTTCCCTCTAGTCTTCGGCCCCCGGGCGGTCCTCTGCTCGTCCAATCTCCTCATGCCACGTGGCAGCAGCAGGTCTGGAGTGTACCCGCGAGGGGTGATTGTTCTAGAGCCGGTCGCGAGACAGGTGTCGGTTCCTGATTGGGCGAGAGGGACTTTTGGAAATGTGACTGATTCTCGTGGGGAGGGAGCGCTGGAGAACGGATGGCGGGTTTTGTCTCTTGTGGAGCAGCCGGCGGCGGTTATGGTGTGGGTGTTAACTGAGGAAGGTAGACTAGGGGATGCGCTGGGGATGGCCCGGGCGGCAGGGTTGCATTCAGATGTGGTGTTTAAGGCTGCTTGGACGAGCATGGGTGTGGGAATTTCCGCAGGAGAAGCAGCAGGCGGAGAAAGAGGAGGAAGAGGAGGAGGAGGAGGAGGAGCAGGAGTAAGTGAGAGTGGGAGGTTGTTGGGCGGAGACAGGGGGCTTGCTGTTAGAGAGGAGGAAGGGAAAGAGGCCGGGAATGACGATGCTGAGGGGAGTGAGGAGGAGAGAGAGGAGGAGGAAGAGGAGGAGGTATCAGCAATCACGGATTACTTGTCTCGAGTGTCTGACCTCCCGTGGGTGGTGAGGGAGTGTGTGAGTGTGGTGTGCGGTACTGCAAAGGGCATGGATTTGCTGTTAAGTCTGGGTCTTGGAGCCACAAGCAGTCTCAAGGAGGAAACCCTAAAAGCAGCCGCAGCAGCAGCAGCAGCAGCAGGAATCCCTGATGTGACGCTATCAGGTGTAAAGCTGGCTCTGGTACGATCCAGGTTGCAGCTTTTGTCCTTTCGTGACCGCCTACAGAGCTACCTAGCCCTCAACATGGGGCGGTACGATCCCCAACAGTACGGCGTCTTTCGTCTTCTTCCCCTCCACTCTGCCGCCCAGCGGTTCGCCTCCGCCGGCCGGATCTCAGCCGTCCACATTCTGCTGCAGAGGCATCCCTTCTCACTCTCCCCTCACCTCCTCTCCCTCCTATCCTCTCTTCCAGAAACCCTCCCTCCTCACTCCTATAGAGCAATTCTCCCTGGTGCCTCCCCCTCTCCTGTTTCCCGGACCAGAGGGGCCGATTGGGTGGAAGGGCGAGGGGTGCTGCAGATGATTGGAGCAGGGTCGGCTGTAGCAGCTGCAGATTCAGCTGCTGCTGTAGCTGTTGCTGCTGGTAGTGGCGGCGGTGGTGGTGCTGCCATTGTGGCATTTGCTACAGAACAGGTGGTGTTTCTGTCTCAGGGATTTAAGTTCCCGTCCAAGCCTGCCGTTGAGGCTTGGTACCTTTCCCGAGCCAGGGAGATTGAGGAACGGACGGGCCTGCTGCAACACTCGCTCGCGCTGCTGGATCTAGGTTTGGCAGCAGGCTTGGCAGAGGTTCGGAATGCTATGGAGGACTATGCCGAGCTGAACAGAGTGGTGTATGGGGCATGCGGGGCTGATAATAAAGAGTATGAGGAAGGGAACGAGGAAGGCAGAGAGGAGGGGGGTGACGAGGCAGGGGAAGGACGGGATGACAGGAAAGAGCAGGAGGAGGAGCAGGAGGAACAGGGAGAGGGGCAACATCATCATCATCAGCAGCAGCAGCAACAGTCTGCTCAATCTGCTTCTGTCTTCTCTGCTGTTACCCCAATTGCCCTAAAACGCGCCGAACTCACTCTTTCCATCTGGTTACAGCTCCCCATAATCCAACGGTTCAGATTTGTTCTCGGGCAGCCCCGCCCCGCATCCATCGTCTCACGCCTGCACGAGCGCGCTCTGCCAATCCTGTTCCGCCACCTGGCGTCGCCGCAGCAGGTCTGGAGCCTCCTGGAAAAATGGCTAAGGGAGGAAATCGCCCCTGTGAGAGGCAGAATGGCAGTTTTCTCCTCTGTTGTGGCTGAAATGGCTAAGGGAAAACATGGCTGTCTCTCCCTCACAACCTCGAGCCCCCCCTCTCTCTCCTCTCCTCCGCTTCCTTCCACCGGCCCTCTTCCCTCCTCTTCCGCTTCCTCTTCCTCCTCCCAGCCCTCCTCCGCATCATCCCTTCTCCCTTTCTCTCTTTCCGATCTTGCCTCTCTCTCCCTCCACTGCCTCCCTCTCTCTGCCTCTACTGATGAATGGAGCTCTATGGCTTTTCTTCTCCGAGCCATTCTAGACTCTCACAAAACTGCTGCTCTAGCAGAACAACACAGGGTTAAGTCTCCTGCTTCTGCTGCTGCTTCTGCCGCTGCTGCTGCTGCTGCTGCTGGGGGGAGGGGTAGGCGTGGTGGAGCTTCGGCCCGAGCCTCCGGCGCAGGCTTGGAGCCGCTAGGTTCGGAGCAGCAGGAGGCAGTGGCGAGCGCGCTGCTATTGGTGGAAGCTGGGGCTGTCCTTGCCACGTATGAGCTCCCCACACCCTACACCGCCCTCGTCCAATCACGCAGCGACACGTCAGCAGCCCTCCAGCTCCTCCGCAGCCTCCTCTCCGCCTTCGCCCGCCGCCAGCCGCCCCCGGAGGATCCCGATTGGCTGGATCTCTTCCGCCACGTCAGCACGCTCAAACACTCCGCGTTCCTCCCCCTTTCCCCAGACTCCCTCCCTTCGGAAATGGCCAGAGTGCTGCTAAGGGAAGGGCGATTCGCGCTAGCCAGGCAGTTTCTGAGAAGCGGGGGAAGCGGGGGGACTGGGGGGAGTGGGAGAGGAAGAGGGGGAGGGGAGGACGTGTGGTTGGAGGAAGATGCGGTGTTGAGTGAGGATCGGGTTGAAGCGCTGGTGATTGGTGCTGCCAGGAACTTCTTCTACTCCTCCCCGACACTCGACTCCCCAGATGTAAGAGTTTGCTGATTTGCTCGTGGCGTCCCGTCAATCATTCCGGCCCACCTCCCTCCCGCACCTGCTGCCCCTGCTCCTGTTCCATGCAACCCACCCAACCTCCTTCACCAACCACTCAAACTCTCCCATTTTCCCCTCCCTCTTGTGTTCCCCTCCTTTGCCTCCTTCCCTCTCCTCCCCCCCCCTCCCCCTCCTCCTCCCCTGCCTCTCCCCTCCCCTTCCCACACACCGCAGATCCACAGTGCATTCGCCTGTCTGGACATTCTCCCGCGCAGCCCAGCAGCAGCAGCGGAGAGGCAGCTCTTCTCAGCCCTTGTCATCGACCTCCCAGCGTGTGGCCTCCACCTGCTCCCAACCCGCGATCGCCTCGATATTATACACCAAGTGCTCAACCTCTGCCTCTCTGTTTCTCCACCCCTCTCTTCCACTTCCTCTGGTGTTCCCTCCCCCCCCCCTTCCCCCCCACCACCCGCAGATCCACAGCGCATTCGCCTGTCTGGACATACTCCCGCGCAACCCAGCAGCAGCAGCGGAGAGGCAGCTCTTCTCAGCTCTAGTCATCGACCTCCCAGCCTGTGGCCTCCACCTCCTCCCCCTCCACCTGCGCCAAACCCGCGACCGACTCGATATTATACACCAAGTCCTCAACCTCTGCCCGTTCCCTCCAATCTCCCTCCTCACCACCACCACCACCTCCTCCTCCTCTTACTCCTTCTATTCCTCCTCTTCTTACCCTTCCTCTCACGTCTCCCCTTATTCCCCCTCCTCGGCGTCCTCCCCCTTCGCTCCGGTCTTTGCCGTCGATCTTGCGAACACAGGGGCACCCGAGGTCCTCACCCTGGCATGGAAATTAGGGCTGACGTCAGCAGCAGATGAAGGGAGGGTGCTAGAAGCGGTGGCGAGAGCAGCGGCAGCAAGGGCGGATATAAGAACGGCTAGAAAGGTCGTTCAGGAGCTCATGAGTAGGAGCTATGGAGGGATATGGGATCTCTGTGCTGCTTTGGCTAGGGGACCGGCTAGTAAGGGGGGAAGGGGAGGGTTGGGAGGAGGCAGGGGTGGGGGAATGGGCAGGTTGGGGAGGCAGGGAGGGAGGCTAGGGAGTGGGATGCAGGGGCAGCTGCAAAAGGGGAAGCTGTCGCGATCGGCTGTGGAGCTGGGTGCGGGTGAGGGGAGAAGGGGTGGTGTGAGTGGGAGAGGGAGAGGCGGAGCGGGATTTGAGAGGGTGGATGGGAGTGAGGATGGGGCGATGGGTAGTGATGGTGGGAGTGTGAGCGATAGCAGCAGCAGCAGCACGAGCCTGAGCACTATGATTGGACGAACAGTTGCTTCTGCAGCTGATCTGTCTGCTGATGTTAGCGTAGATGAATCCGCCAGCAGTGCAGCAAGCACCGCTGCTGACGTGGACGCTGACGTGGATGCTGACGTGGACGACGGATCCGATGACATCAGCATGCCGATCCGGAGGGAGTTCCTAGGGTTTGCTCTGGCTCATTGCGACGAAGCTTCCCTCCCGGACCTGCTAGCCTCGTGGCAAGGCTTGGATGCCACGGAACGGTGCGTGGCGCTAGGTGCGGCGACAGGCTTGGTGGTCCCAGGCCTGCGAGAGCAGGAGGCGCTGCTCCCGGACCTAGCTGCCGGCCGAGCCTCAGGCAAGTGGGAAGGCACGGAAGTGCTGGTGGTTCCCGAAGCTGCCACTGCCCCTGCTACAGCCGGTGCTACAGCCGGCAGAAGCAGCAGCAGTAGCAAAATCCGGGGGAAGGCAGGGAGCTCAGCTGTTACTACCACCAGCACTGGAAGAAAACTGGCTAGTCTGGGTGGGGGACGGGGGGCGATCGGGAGGGACGTGGGGAGGAGGGCGCTGGCGCTGGTATCGAGTGACGGGGAGGCGTGGGGGGATAAGCAGTGGGAGGAGGTGCCTCGACTGCTGCTGCCGTTTGCCTGCCTGCACTTGCCCTGGATGCTCCAGGTGAAAACCCGCCGTGCTGCTGCTGCTGCCGCTGCTGCTGCCGCCACTGCTGCTGGGGCTGCTGCAAAAACTGGAGGGACAGCATCAGCATCAGCAGCAGCAGCAGCAGCAGGCGGAGGGGGAGTGGCAGAAGCAGCAGCAGCAGCGGATCCTATAGTGGAGCAGATAGTGGTGCTGATTCTCCACGTGCTCGCGTCCTGCCAGGTGTCGCCCTCTGATAAGCTCCTGACCGAAGCTGCCCGGAGCGCCCTAACTGCTGGGGACATAGTCTCTGCTGCGGCAGCTGCGGCCGGTCTGTGGGGGGTACCTGGAGCAGGAGTAAGGGGAGTGGGTGGCTTGTCAGGTGCTGCGTCAGGTGCTGCGTCAGGTGGTGGATCAGGTGGTAGATCAGGTGCTGCCGAGTCAGGTGCCGGGCCAGGTGGAGGGGTAAGTGCTGATGGTTCTGGAGCAGCGGAAGGGAAAGAAGTTAGCCCTACAGCCGCTGTTGCATCTGCTGAGGTGGCGGCGTGTGATTCGCTGGCGATGGCGTTTCTGCTGCAGGCTGGGGATTCAGTGCGGGCGGCAGGGGTGATCGATGCTGAGATGGCGAAGCGGGATGGGGCGGATGCAAAGAGGCGGTTCGTGCTGCTGCTGCTGCAGTTCTCGTCGCTCCATGCAACTCTCTTCCTGCTAGCTGCTCAGGTGAGTGCGCAAAGAGCATCCCAGGGGTGGGTGGGGGTGATTGATGCTGAGATGGCGAGGCGGGACGGGGCGGATGCGAAGCGGCGGTTCGTGTTGCTGCTGCTGCAGTTCTCGTCTCTTCACGCCACGCCCTTCCTGCTAGCTGCTCAGGTGAGTGCGCATGGAGCATCCCAGGGGTGGGTGGGGGTGGAAGTGATTGATGCAGAGATGGCGAAGCGGGACGGGGCAGATGCAAAGTGAGGGATGTGCTTAACAAAGTGGATGCTGCTGCAGCACAGAAGAACAGGTTCGACCTGGATCCAACAGGTGACTCGTCCTTAACAGGTATCTAGTGAGGGATGTGCTTAACAAAGTGGATGCTGCTGCTGCAATTCTCTTCTCTCCATGCCACACCCTTCCTGCTAGCTGCTCAGGTGGGAATTCAAGATTTCACGAGCATATCAGCCAAACACATCTGTCCTGTATTGATCATGCTCTCTTATGTTCCCTCCACCCCTTCGATTCAATTCCACCCGGCAGGCCAACGAGGCAGCGGTTGTGGGGTCACTGCTGCTGCTGTCTGTTGAGGCACCTTGGGTTGGCTATCCTGCTGCTGTGCTCTGCTCGTGCTGCAAGCTTCCTCCTCCTTGAACCCCCCCCCCCCCCCCCCCCTTTTCACGTATTCCACCTGGCAGGCTAATGAAGCAGCCTTTGTGGGGTCGCTGCTGCTGCTGTCTGTTGAGGCACCTTGGGTTGGCTATCCTCGTGTAATGAGTCATGTTTTGAGTCGACTCAAAACACGACTCATTACACGCGGATTATATGTGGAGAAATTGTTTGTGGCATGGCAAATTGGTTGTAACCCTCACAGGTTACTGGTACGCGCGCGACTTGAACCCCCCCCATCCTTTTCACGTATTCCACCCTACAGGCCAACGAGGCAGCGTTTGTGGGGCTGCTGCTGCTGCTGTACTTCTGCATATCACTCAAGCACATGTCCTCCTGTGTTGCTCCTGCTCTCTCTCTCTCTCTCTCTCTCTCTCTCTCTCTCTCTCTCTCTCTCTCTCTCTCTCTCTCTCTCTCTCTCTCTCTCTCTCTCTCTCTCTCTCTCTCCGCTTTCTGCCCCCACACACGTTATTCCCCCTTTCAGGCCAATGAAGCAGCGTTTGTGGGGTCGCTGCTGCTGTTGCCGCCAGTGCTGCTCGCGCGCGTGGCAGGGGAAGCTTCCAGGAAGGAGGAGCAGCTGGGGGAGACCGGAGCCCTGGGGTCCAGGCCGGCAGTCAAGAGTTCAGGTGAGTGTAGCTGTGCAAGCGGTGGTGTGCGGTGCTGTGAGGTGGTGCTGACGATTTAGCCAGACACATCTGCAACCCAACTCTACATTCTCCTTACCCAATCCCCCAAACCACTTCGTCACTCTTGCAGCCTGCACATGCCAGCTGTGCAAGCGGTGGTGTGAGGTGCTGTGAGGTGGTGTGTGGTGCGGTGGCACTGACTGACTGCTCTGCCGCTCCCATCCTCCCTCTCTAACACTCAACTCCCTACTCTCTCACTCCCTCATCCCCTTTCTCTGTCTTATCCCCTTACCACGTCACAGCCCGCGCGCGCCAGCTGTGCAAGCGGTGGTGTGAGGTGGCGCTGACGATGCAGGGGCGGCTGCGAGTGGTGGAGGACACACGGGCGCTGCGCGCGCTGCTGCCCCGCGCTGATGTGGCGCGCTTCGTGACGCGTGATGTGGCATACATGGAGGCTGCTATCGCCTCATTGGTCGACGAGACCGATTCTGCTGCTGCCACTGCTGCTACTGGAGGGGCCTTGGCAGAGGCAGTGGGACCGATGCCTCACGCCCTCGCCTCTGCCCTCTCACTCGCTCAGCTCTACCACGTGGACTCCTGGCAGGTGAGGGTGGGTGCTGTTGTTACCAGTGCTGCTGGTAGGTATTGCAGCGAGCACAACAGAATGTGCTGCTGCTGCTGGGGGAGGGGCCATGGCAGAGGCAGTGGGGCCGATGCCTCACGCCCTCGCCTCTGCCCTCTCTCTAGCCCAGCTCTACCACGTGGACTCCTGGCAGGTGAGCATAGGATTGGCTGCTGTGTTGTTGACTTGACAGCTGGCAGGTGAGTGTTTAGGTCGAATGCTGTGCTGTTGACAGCCGGCGAGAGGAAATTGGTGGCGATACTTGCAACAGCAGGTACTGCTCACTTTCGCTTCTTCTGAAACAACAGAGAATCCTGAAGAACAGGTTCTGGTGTAACATGGTTCTGAGTTACCAGCTCTTTTTTTGTCTCATGTGGTGCAGGTCCATTTGACATACGTCCGCTCTGTGCTGCTCTCTGATTGGCCGGAGCAAGATATTGTCACTGAGGTGGAGGCACACAAAGCCGCCATCTGTACCCGTCCCACGTCAGCCTTCTCCTTCCTCTGGACCTCCGTGCTCCCCCGCTTTCTCACTCAAATACAGACAAAAACCCACACTGACACAGGGTTACACGCTCAGAAACACCCCCCCACACTCCCCACCCTCGCACCCTACCTCCTCCGCCTCCTCTCCCACTGCCTCCTCTCCTCGCTCTCCCCTCCCCCTCCTCCCTCCTGCCCTCTCACCCCCTCCCCTCCTCTCTCCCGCCCGCTCTCGCTCCCGCTCCCACCAACCCCTCTCACCGCACTCAACTCCTTTGTATCGTCAGCGCAGAGCGCAGCATCCCTTGCTCCCAGGCTCTCTCTTTTAGCAGAGCAGATTGAGAAGGCAGGGGGCCTTCAGCCTTCACTGGATGGGTGGGTGCTTCTGGGGGCGGCTGTTGCTGGTGCAGGCACAGCAGGAGCAGTTGGAGCAGCAGAAAATAAGGACAGTGCTGGTGTTATGGAGGTGGAGAGAGCAGTTGAGAGGGAGATAGAGCGGTGCTTCGACGGATCCTCTGTGCTGACTGCTGCTGAGATCATCTTGTCTCTTTCTGCCGCTGCTACTGCCACTGCTGCAACAGCAACTGTGCCACATGCTGCAGGAGAAGCAGCTGCTGGGTTGCCTGCTTCAGCAGGATTTCCCACAGATCCAGCCTTCCAGGACCGCTTTAATCAGAGCCACTTGCTCTGGCTCTTTGCTAAGTGCCAGTTGAGACAGGCTGGCGTGCTTGCCGACTCATATTCCCCAAAGGTTGATATGGAAGAGAGGAGGAGTGACGGGGTGGCAATTGGTGACAATAAAGGCAGCAAGGAAGACGAGAAGGAAACCGGGAAGGGAAAGAGGTTGAGTCTGGAGGGGTTGCAGTCAGCCCGTGTAGCCATGGCTGGATCTCTCTCCCTGCTCTCAGAGGAAAATCGGCGGGAATTTACGCTCCTGCTGCTGCAGGGATGTGAGCGGTGGGTTCTAGAAGCGTGCTCTGCAGGGGAAGGCAGTGGAGCGAAGAGAAGCGGGGTGAGAGGAGGTGGTCGTGGGAAGAATGGGAGGGAGCGGAGGGGTGGGAGAGGGAGGGAGGGAGGAGAGGTGCGGAGGGGTGTGGAGCTTTGGCTAGATGTTGTGGGGGATTGGATGGGGTGTCGCGGTGGGAGGTTGGACGGGGGAGAAGGGAAGGAGGATAGGGAGGAGAGGGAGGAGAAAGAAGAGTCTGTGGTGGAGTGCGGGAGATGCATTCAGAAGCTGCTGACCAATGGGGTCGTGACACGTCAGCAAGGTGTGCTACTCCTCCGGTTCCTCTCGGACTCGTTGCTGAAGACCCAATTGTCCTCGGATGAGAACAAGTCAGCTGCCACGTCAGCTGCCAGGTCAGCAGCCAGGTCAGCAGTCCATTCAGCACAAGAGACGGACCTTCAATTTCAGGGTAATTCACCCCTGAATGGAGGCAAAATCTCTCCTGCACGCGCTTTAACCCAGGCTTTAATGCGTCAGATGGTTCTCGTGGGGTGCCCCTTACTCGCCCTAGTCGCCCTAGCCCAGGCCACACACGGCCGTGACAGCTGGCAGCTGCCTATTGGTACAAACCAGCGGCGGCGTGTGCTGACGTCAGCAAGGTCAGCAGGAGCCAATCAGGGAGCGGGACGAGCAGGCGGGAAGATCGGGAGAGGAAGGGAGGTAGGAGTAACGGCAAGTGCTGCTTCCAGGAAGCTTCCTGGTGATGCGGGCAGCGAGACGGGGAGCACGGGCGGCGAACAGGAGGAGTTCGCAGTGAGTGACGTCAGCAGGGTGGCTGGTGACGCCAGCAGGGGAGGCAGGGGGACAGGGAGAGGAGTGCGCGGGCGGGGAGGGAGGGCTGGTAGGACTAGTAGGGGAGGAGGGGGGCGAAGGGGAGAGGAGGAGGAGGAGGGAGAAGGAAAGAGTGAGAAAGAGAAGGAGGAAGACCCTATGGACCTATTTGCTTCTATGGGCTTAGTTTCATCTGCTCCCCGTGCCGCTGCTGCTGGTGCTAGCAGCTTTGGCAAGCCTGAAGCTTCCAAGAAGAAGCCTCTGGTAGTCTCCAAGGCTGTTGGTAGGCTCGGGGCGTTGAGAAAGGGAGGCTCGGCAGCTTCGGCACCAGCTTCGGTAGAGCCAGAAGGTTTAGCCCCAGGCTCAATGCTTGGTTCGGTTGAATCACTCCCGGATATGGCTGCAACCGCTGCCTCAGGTGCCATTTCAGGTGATTCTTCAGGTGCCCTGTCTGTTGCAGTTTCACCCGGGGAGGGCGGGCATATGACAATGGACTTTGCAGCAGGGGCTGCTGGAGAGGAAAAATCCGTTTCCTCCCCACAGCCGAAACCCCTGACACCAATAGTTTCTCCTGCTGCTACTCCTGCTACTCCTGCCACTGCTGCGACTACTGGTGACTGTAATAAGGCTGGTGCTGGTGCCGAAGCTGCTGCAGCTGTTGCCTCTCGTCCTGAGATCAGTATTGTGGATCTGTACTTGTCGGTATTGCGAGAGCTTATGGGAGAAGGACCGCAGCTTCATGTGCATGCTTGTCCTGACCGGTTAGCTCAGGCGATTATGAGAGTGATTCTTTCACTGGTGGAGGCGAGGGAAGGGGAGGTACAGCAGGTACTGAGTGTGAGAGATGGGGGAAGTGAGAGAGAAGAGGAGGAGGAGGAGAGTGGGTGGGGGCTTGATTTATCAGGGAATGAGGAGGAAGAGGATGGGGGGGAGGATGAGGAGAGCGGGTGGGGGCATTTTGAGGTTCTTGTTTCATCTGTGCGCTCTGCTGTGTGGAGGCTGCTGGTGCGCATGGGAACGCAGGAGGGGGAATCAGCACTGACGCTAAGTGCCACACTTAGCAGCGACACTGCTGCACACTCCCCTGTGGTGCAAAGTGCCACACTTAGAGCGGCTGTTTTGGATGCTGTGAAGGCTGTAGCTCCAGCCTCGTCTGACCTATCAGCACCTGCCACGTGGCTCTCTGGGAGAGGGTTCTTTGTGGATGCTGTAGGGCTCGGGGTGATGAGCGGTGTAGAGGGGTGCTGGGGGGTGTGGGATCTGGAAGAGGTGGGAGAGGAGGAGGAAAGATGGGTGGGAGGGGATCAGAAGGATGACGTGGCACTGGACAGGTGGCGCTGGGCGGCGCTGCGTTCCCGCGCGATCGTGCAGTCTGACTGGCCGGGAGAGCTCGCTGACGTGGCGCCGCTGCTGGATGACGTGGCAGCAGACGGCAGCTTCGGAAGCATAGGTTCGGCAGTTGAGTCATTCAAACAAACCTTCTTCATTCTGGATAGCGGCGCAAGGGGGAGGCAAACGAATGCAGTGGATACTCAAAAGCAGCAGCAGCAGCAGCAGCAGCAGCATCGTGAGCTATCCCTCCTGGCTCTTCTGACCATATGGGACCCTCTCCTCGCTCCCAAGTGGTGCCATTCCACTGCCACCCCTGCCACCACAGCTGCTGCTGGCAATGCTGCTGGCTCTGCTAGCAATTCCGCTGCTGCTGCCACCACCACTGCTGCAGCTGGGCTGCATCCGCTGCACGAGTGCTGGTTCCTGCCTCTCCGCCGCTGCGCTCTCTTGCCCCCTGTTGTTGCGGCAGCAACACCAGCAGCAGGAGCGTCAGCAGCAGCAGGAATAGCAGGAGCAGGAGCAACAGCAGCAGCAGCGCAGGGCAGTGTGCTCGTGCCGTCGCTGCTGCTCTCTGCTCTTGACGCTGCTGCCTTCCTTCCCTCAGGCAAGAGGGCAGCAGGGCGAATGCTGCTCTCCCGAGACGAGGCAGAGCAACTTCTGGCTGATACTGCTGCTGCTGGGAACAGTAACAGTGGTAATAGGGTTACCAGCGGTATCAGCGGTAGTGGCAATGGTAACAGTGGTAATAGCAGTGCCCTAACAGCGGCCTCTCAAGCTGCTCTCTTCATGCTTAAAGTGGCTCTGTTGCTGCCGTACCCCCAGGTATGGCTGCAGTCAATGCAGCTGGTGAAAGTAGCTGCTGCTGCTGCCACTGATGCTGCTGCTGAGGCTGCTGGTGGTGGGGGTAAAGGGAGGGGTAGAGGCGGGTGGGGCGATGGGTGGGGGGGAGAGGAGGAGGAGGAGGAGGAAGAGGAGGAAGAGTATGAGGAAGAGGAGGAGGACGAGGATTCGTTTTATGATGAGGAATATAGTGATGATGATGGTGGGAGGGTGGGAGGGGGAAGGAAGGGTGGGTGGAGGGCGGGTAGGAGAGGAGGGAGGAGAGGAGGAAAGGGAGGGAAGGATCGAGGACCCTCATTGGATAATGAAGCTCTAACGCTGCTGCTAGCGGCTGATATCGTGCGACAGATGGCAGATGCTCATTCGGCGGTGGTTCGGCCGTTGCTAGGAGCTATGGCAATGGTTATCCCCCCTCTAGCGGTTCAGTTGCAAGAGGAGCGGAGGAGGGAGAGAGAGCGGGAGGAGAGAGGGGGGGTGGAGAGCGAGGAGGGGGAGGGAGGAGAGCCGGCGAGGAGGAATGGAGGTGAAGGGAGTGAGCAGGTGGAGAGTGGAGTGGGGTTTGGAGGGAGGAGGGGTGGTGGGGGTTGGAATGGGGAAGAGGATAGAGAGGAGGATGAATTGGGAGAGGGCGGTGATAAGTTTCAGGTGAGAAGTGAGCAGCAGCAGCAGGGACAGAGGAGAGGTATGCTGGGCTCACTTCTCTCTCATATCAGCGCACTCGCACCGTTGCCAACCGGGGATGATGACGATGTTGGTAAAAGTGATGATGATGGTGATGGGATTGGTAACAATGACAAGGAAGTGCATGGTAGGGAGTATGGCAATTACAGCAGCAGCAGGGCTGGCGGTAGCAATAAGGGTAATACCAGCAGGGAGGAAGACAGCAGCAGCAGCAGGGGAGACACCAGCAGCAGGAAGTGCGATAGCAGCACGGTGGGGCCTCCGCCTCTCTATCGCACAGCCTTCCCCCATTTCGTCGCCTCTCTCACTGCCGCCCGGCAGTACGAGCTTGCCGCCCCTCTTGCCCTGCAGTTTCTGGGCAGGCCGACGTTTTCCCGCAACTGGGCAGCTTCCCGGGCAGCTCTGAAGGAATTTCTTGTGAGCGAGCTGAGGGCTGCGGAAGCAGCAGGATTTGGGAAGATGGGGAAAGGAGATTCCGGTATATCTAACGGGAGACGTTGGGAAGCTGAGGTTTCAAGTGGTGATAGTAAAGAGAGCGGTGGTGGTGGTGGTGGTTGTGCTAATGGTGAAGGGGAGTTGGTGTATCTGTCTGGAGCGTTGTTTCACATTGGTGTGAATCTTCCAGACGTCTTGCTACTCGCTCTGCAAATGCTACAGATTGATGCCTAAGTTGGATTTCAATTCAAGAGATAGTATAGTACCGTAGCTACAGGTACTTGGGAACCTGGTTAGCCAAGACTATCAAGTTTCCTATATCAAGTGGAGTGGAGGCTTTGAAAATGAGATGTCAGCGCTCCATCCAGTCATGTTGCTTAGATGTAAGATCATTTCAGCGGAAGGACAGCAATTATGGGTATTGCGTTTTATGGGGTACAAAGGTTACAATAATTATGTTGGGCTGAGTGCCCCTTAGGATCTTTGGTAGGGTTAATCTCTGGGTAGAGTGATGTAGTAGCGGAAGCGTTAACAAAGAGATTCTGAACCACCTTGCGTTAGTATGTGAGGGCAAAGTAAGTTGATTAAAACAAGCAAGTACAAAGGTTTATATAAGAGTACAAAGAATACGAAGAGATATAATTAAACTGTTTTGCTGTTGCGGTTCGATACAGTGCGACTCGGGCAACTGCTCAATGTCGAGTCAGTTGTGTGTCCTTGCTGTCGCGCTGTACTTGTCAGGTCAAAGGTCGCTGACCTTTGACTTTCGAGTAACCTCCAGCGGTTACTTCAACCTCCGAGGGTTGACTCGCCGGTGCTTCGGTATGCTTCGCTTCGCTTGTGCCTTAGTGTTTCGACACGACAGAGGCGCTTAGGACCGATTGTTTCCAACACTCCCCTTCGCTTCTGGAGTGTCGCTGACGTGGCTCTGTCCAGTCAGCAGCATGCAATATTCGAATTTCTGCTTTCCGAGCTTCTTGGTCAGGTAGTCAGCTGCCATTTCGGACGTGGGGCAGTATGACAGCTCGAGCCTTCCCTTCTCGATCTCGTCCTTCACGAAGAAGTATCGCAGGGCGATGTGTTTCGTCCTGCTCGCAAAACCGTTCTTGTTGGCGATGCGAATTGCCGACTGGTTGTCGCAGAACAGGGTAAAGTTGGGTAACTCGGCTAACTTCGCTTCTTCCAGCAGCTCACGAAGATAGAGTCCTTCCTTGGTGGCTGAGCAGAGTGCAATATATTCTGCTTCAGCTGACGAGAGAGCAATTAGTTCCTGCTTGCTCGATTGCCAGGAGATAGGCCAGATAGGCTCGAAGCGATAGATGTAGCCGGTGCGTGATCGTCTGTTGTCGGAGTCGCCCGCGTGATCTGCGTCGACGTACTTAGCGGCGTTGAGGTAGATCGCGTCTTCTTCCTCTCGAATGTTCAAGCCGAGGTACTGTGTGACGGTAGGGGAGACCGTGAGTGTGAGGTCCCTCTGTAACTCCCCTTCGAACCAGGTGGTGATGTCGTCTGTGGAGCCGATGTAAAGTAGGTCGTCTACGTAGACGATCAGCAGGATGTAGTTGGTACCCTTCGTGAGTCGGTACATTCCTTGGTCGTGAGGTAGTTGGCGGAATCCGATGCGAATGAGGCGAGCGTGTAGGTACTGTTGCCACAGCCGCGGGGCTTGTTTGATTCCGTAGAGCGATTTCAGTAGCTGGCAAACCTGGTTGGGCTCTCCGTTTCAGAGCATTATAGCTTATGCTTTTGTGTAGGCTGTAGTGGGGTAGCCTATATGGGGTACAACCCAATTAGGGTTAGTAATTGTACCCAACTCTTTCATAGTGCATTCATTCTCGTTCATTTTCACATGGTTTCGGAGCACATATGCTCCTGGCCTGTGGGCCCTACTACTGCTTCCGCTGCTACTCGATCTGTCGCACGCCCCGTGGCGTGCGACCTATTTGGTGCGCGGCGATTTTCTCTCTGGCGCGCGCCCCGAGGCGCGCGGCCCCGTTCCTTCTAGGCGCGCCACTCCCCGCTACCCCGTCGCGGCGCCCAGGGGAGCCGCGCGCGACCCCTCGCTGCCCCGTCGCGGCCCCATCTCGTCGCGCCGCCCTAGCGGCCGCGTCGCGCCGCCCTCGCGGCCCCGATCCGCTGCCCTAGCGGCCCCGTCACCTACCCCTGCGGCCCCGGCGCCGCCCATCCCGGCCCCGGCTCCGCCCTTCCTGGCCCCGGCGCCACCTCGGCTGGCCCCGTCGCCTACCCCGGCGACCCCGACGCCGCCCTTCCCGACCCGGCCCCGCCTCTGGTGGCCCCGTCACCTACCCCTGCGGCCCCGGCGCTGCCCTTCCCGGCCCCGGCGCCACCTCTGCTGGCCCCGACGCCGCCCTTACCGGCCCCGGCGCCGCCTCTACTGGCCCCGTCGCCTACCTCTGCGGCCCCGGCGCCGCCCTTCCCGACCCCGGCGCTGCCTCTGCTGGCCCCGTCACCTACCCTGCGGCCCCGGCGCCACCTCTGCTTGCCCCGTCGCCGCTCCACCCGGCCCCGCCGCCGTCCCCAAGCGGCCCCGCCGTCACCACCGAGCTGCCGGCGCCGCCGAGCTGCTACCGAGCTGCCCGAGCCACCCGAGCCGCCCGAGCCGCAGCGCCACCTGAGCCGCCCGAGCCGCCGGGTCGCCGAGCCGCCGAGCTGCAGTTGCTGCCGAGCCGCCGTACCGCCGAGCCGCCCGAGCCGCCCGAGCCGCCGAGTCGCCGAGCCGCAGTTGCCGCCGAGCCGCCCGAGTTGCCCGAGCCGCCGAGCCGCAATTGCTGCCGAGCCGCCGTGCCGACAAGCCGCCCGAGCCGCCCGCACCGCCGAGTCGCCGAGTCGCCGAGCCTGCTCTTCCCACCACTGGTGAGCCCCTGCCCTGCTAGCGCGCTGCCCGCCGCCTGCTTGCCTGCCTGCCTGCCTTTCGGCTTGCCTGGCTGCTCGCCTTACTGCTGCTACTCCTGCTCCTGCTTCTACTGGCGGAGCAAGATGCAGCCCCAGCGACGTCCGCGTGAGTCCCTCACGCCCCAGCAGCTGCGTGAGTGGTACGCTGGTTGGGGTTGTAGGGGTGGCGGCGATGCTACTGCTACCACTACTGCTGCTACTACTACTGGCGGCGGCCAGATGCAGCTCCAGCGACGCCCACGCGCGTCTCTCACGCCCCAGCAGCTTCGTGAGTGGTACGCTCAGAGTAGAGGGTCTCTCAGTTCTGTTCGCTGCTCTTACGTGATTCGCACTGGTGCTCGGACTGGTCAGCCTTGTGGGACACCTAGTCACACACAGTCCCGCTGCTTCGCACGTCTGAGCGACGCCTGGCGTACCGAGTTTGGCGACGAGGCTGAGCTCCCCGACTGGGTGGAGTTGCTTAGGCAGAGGGTAGATATATTTGCTCTTGACTATGATGCTATTCTCACTGCCATATATGCATTGCCTACTAGTGCTGACCGTGCCGGTCACCTGTGCGTACCGCCTGACCCGGGTATAGAGCCTACTGCTCTAGCTGCTGGTGAGGCTGCTGCTCTGGGTGCTAGTGAGTCTCCTGCTCCAGGTACAGGTGCGGCTGCTGCTCTAGGTGCTAGTGAGTCTGCTTCCTCAAGTGCGGATGAGTCTGCTCTCTCAGGTACCGCGTCGGCTCCGGCCTCTCACACCTTCACTCTTGACTCGGGGGCTTCCCGCTCCTTCTTTCGAGACCGCACCACACTCACGCCGCTTGGTCGGCCAGATGCAGTCTCTCTGGCAGACCCCTCTGGGGGTCCTGTCCTTGCTCACTTCTCCACTGTCCTCCCGTGTCCGGCGGCCCCCTCTGGCACCCTGTCTGGTCTTTACCTCCCCTCGTTCTCTACGAACTTGGTGAGTGGTGCTGACCTACAGGATGCGGGGGTTCACCAGTTCACTCCTGCGAGTCAGCGGG